TCGGTCTTTGTTTAAAATGTATTAATACAAATTGTAAGTACAAAAATCTAAAATAATTCCTTTCAAAAGAATATATCCAATTTTTCAAAATAATGCTGACTTCATAATCTTGCAAAATTGACGAATTAGGCGTCTTTTTAAAAACTATTATTCAATTTTTTATAAAATATTTTCTAAATTTAAATTCTACTCGAAAATGAGAAATTTTGAAGAATAAGACGCCATTTTAGTATGTTTAGGTGTTAATAGGTCAATAATCTATGAATAAATTAAACGTTTGATGTTTATCTGGTAGCGAAATGGTCGTAAATTAGCATCATTCACACTTGTCACTTTAAACAAATTACATGATTAATTCCCTTTAATTACCATAACACTTCTTATCACGTGCTACCACGTGCTATTACGTCATTATATTAGCATGTTACGTCAGGGTGACAAATCAATTGGAATGACCAGCAGAAGGAGAGAGAAGCGTTGATGGTTATATTTCAATAACTTGTACTTTATGGAGTTTAAATATAATTTAAATAAATTTGAAGATAAATGAATTATTTGATTTTTTTAAATTTGAATTTAACAATTATTTGCATAATTTATAATAAATAAAATGTCTGTCAAAAAGAGGAACTAACGCTTGAAATCTTGTTTCCATTACATGTGTCTAGCTAAACGGATGAAACCGTAAAATTTGAATTTTTTTCGTGAATTGAGAAAGTAAAGCAACAAGACAATGTTGCAGATACCGCGACAAAGGTACTACAAATAAACATCGCATTAAACCCTCCCGTGGCAAGAAAACCGAAACATTCAGTCTTCCAGAGTAGAAAATATAATTCGAATATCACAGAGGAAAAAATTGGATATATATGATCCCCACATCAATGTCGACTTCAACAAATAAATAAATATACATTTCAATACGCGAAACACCAGCCAAGAATAAGTTGAGGTAATTTGCCAAAATTCTTACCACAGTCGATACAATCTGGCGCTTTTTACCCTAGGGAGAAGTTAGTGCAAAGCGATTAATAAAATTTTGATGGGTAGGAAGCCTTTTTCACACAATGACTGATCCCAATTTCCTTTCTTTGTAGCAGTTCTTGTAACATTATCATCGCAGAGCCGACCCAAGGCAGAACGTATATAATGTACTCTGTAGCCTATTCTATTGTCGGTTAGTGTGGTGTTATTTGACCTACAGAACATTGAATAAACGAAACAGACGATCAACGCGTCACATACAACCGGGGAATCAAAACCACGTCATTGACTCAACGACAGACTTTATGATTCAACGCACACGCGCTAACCATTCTGCCATCCAGTCAATGAATGAATGACTCAACGACAGACCTTATGATTCAACGCGCACGCGCTAACCATTCGGCCATCCAGTCAAACTGAATGAATATTTAGCACTCAGCAACCTAGAACATGATTATTATACTTAGAATTCCCGAAGTTTTCTGAATATGTATTTATGTTTTAGTGTCTATATTTCATAGATGTAGTACACGAGGCAGTGTATGTTTGCTGACTGCATACCACTTATTTGGGAACAATCTGTTTAAGTCTATGACATTGTATTTGGATTTTATATTGTTTTTATGACAGTCGAACTGTCCTTATTTTTCATGTGGAACACAAAAGTTATTTTAATATTTTCGAAATTAGTTCACAAATGTTCACAGAATCGCAATAAACAATACCACCAAAAAACATACCCTCAAACCTAAGACTATTGTTCTTTTATTATGGCAGACCGTTTCTGTATACATGTTAATCTATTTGCCCGCGCAGCCAAAAAAACAATAACCCCTCTCCCCTCGACTAAAAGAACCTTGATGATATCCTTCTTTCAATTTTCAAGAGTCAATTACTAATTACAAAATATGTATTTTGATTTTTAAAATCCCACGGGGCTATGCATTCTTGCAATGACTTAGTTTCTATCTGATGAGAGAAAGACGCAAAAATGAATAACTCTAAATACAAAACGAGTTTGTCTGCGTGTTTAGCGAATAAAAAACGGTATTTACAATGTCAGTTTGTCTGCATTTATAAATAATCTTATTAGAATCTAGCAAGAATAATCTAATATTTGTGTGATGTTTACAGTGGAATAACTAGCACTAACTGGATTTATTATACAGTTATAGCTTGTGAAATATGAGAAAAAAAAAACAAGTCGTCAAAAAGTCATTTATTACCGTCAAGAATTTAGTTCAAATCACAACAATACATCAGTGTAATGGCGGAGATGGAAGAATTACCCCCCATCCCACCCCACCCACCTTTGTAATATTCATTCCATTGTTTTTTTAGAACACCCATTTTTTCAACTCTGAGAACAATTTAGAAAAGGTGACTAATTAAAAAACAATAGTTTGATAATTTCCACTTTTGTAGGAATTTATACGCTTAGAAAAATGTAATCGCAATCATAAATGTACATTATTATTTAAGATACATTATGTAAGATTTTTTATAAAGACCTGTGTGTTATTGCTATAATAGTTCAAAAATAGATAGCCAAAAATCTATACATGTATATTGAAAATTTCATTCAAATAGCTTTATTCTGAGCGAATTTAAGACTGTTTGAAGATATAGCTTAGATTGTTTATTATCGTAGCAACGATACTTGACAACCCAGACTTGGTCTCGATTGTCAATTTTATCGTTAAATTTTTAAATCTCAATCTAAATAATAACGACAGGCAAAAGCCGATTTATGAAATATTATTCAATATTATTCAGTTTTCAATATCGGAGTTGTGTTAAAGGGACAATAACACTCTTGCTGGCTTGGCAGCTCCAGAAAATAAAAAAAATAGCCTTATTCTAAGTACTAGATGTGTTAGTGTCCTTCCTGTTGTGTAAATTATCCATTAAATCCTATTTTACTTGTCCAAAGGGTTCAAAAATATTTTTAAATCCAAGTCACATTTGAAAAGCTTTACGTCAGGCTTTTCAAATCATTTAGTTGAATTTTTCCAATTTTTTAAATTAGGTGTGTTAAGATGAAATTTGTATCATCAATTAATTGGAATATTGTAAAATAGTACAATTTGTTGACCAGAATAAAGATTGGGACATATTATTCAGTTACAACAAGAGTGGTATTCAGCCTTTAACAAACCCTACGCCATTGAATCATAAATGCTACAATCATATTAAAATCAACGACCAGGGGGGCTTATTCAAGAAATCGTAAACTCAAATATATTAAGAATTTAAACTCTTCATTGACCACGAGCTAAAAATGTGTGCTGTTATTTTAGTGCTAAGTCAATGAACCAAAAACTGTAGGCCTATCATTAAAATATCTGAAGGTTTTGTGAATAAGGTCTCTGGTAAAGTAAAATTGAGGAATCGGTTCGTTAAATAAACCGAAACGTAATATTATCAAAGGGTCAATACGATTAATTACAGCTACTTTTTACAACACTGGGTGACTTTTAGTAATTGGATAGAAATTATTTATAGAACTTGCTTGCTTGATAAAACGAGAGAACCGTCGTCGAAACGTTGCATGGTAATAAACCAGTAATTTATATTCCGTATACATTTTTAGTCAGCTACTTTTTGTCTAATATAGATTTCTTTTTAAAACACGAAACGGTAATTGACATGTTCTAGAAATAACAGGAATGGCTTGCGGAATCACAAATAAGAGTTCAAATGACACCGTCAAACATGTTCAAAAGTCTGGAAATATTTTTGGAAGGATTATTTTCACTACATATTGTTGGAACTTGTCATGATACTGACTAAATAATTGCATCTCGTGTTTTTGTGAAGGTACTATAAAATATCTGATGGATGAGGAATTCCGGTTTTAAACATCAATAACACCGTTAATGGGGCGCGAAAAGGAACATTGTTCCCTAACACAGCGTTCTGATCTACCCCTGAACACGTCGACACTAAAACTTATAAATAACCACAGGTCATTTAGGATACAGAACAGAAATTAAATGAAACTGGGTTTAACGTGCTACTGTCGACACAGAATAGAAATGAAACTGGGTTTAACGTCCTACTGTTGACACAGAATAGAAATGTAGATTTTTTACACAAAGGTTGCATTGGGATATATACGGGGTGAGTTTCAAACGTTAAGATTAACACTGAGATTATGTCGAAAGAATTAAATCGAATAAAAATTTAATCGCTAATACTCTTTATTTTAAAAAGCATTAATATTTTCACCAATTTTAATTTAAAATAACAGTCTAGCCTACAATCAAACCTAATATCAAAATTGGGAACCTGATATAAAAGGGTTCTAACTGCGACGTCTCTAAATAGCGATTAAAATGTTTAAAAACAATGAATTTCCATAATATTTGAAATAATACCCAAACTCTTTAAATATTTTAAATTCTACCCAAAACCTTTCAAATTCTACTCAAAACCTCTCCTAAACATTAAAAATTCTATCTAAAAAATATTAATTATTAATAAAAATATTAATAATTCTACATAAGAAAACATTAAACAATTAAAATTATACCCAAAACCTTTTAAACATTTCAAATTCTACACAAAATCTTTATAATTCGAAACCTTTAAATATTGAAAATTGTACTCAAACCCATGAAGAAAAAAAACCCAATCAAAATAATAATATAGAATAAAATTTCTCTTATTAAAATGATTTTGTCAAACAAAACCTTGTAAATAAATCTTCGGCCGCGATTTTTGTGACCTTTCTAAAAAATAAACGAATAAATCAATTTGGGCCGAACTTTGTGACCATTAAATTTTTCTTTTATTAAAATCGATGTGGGACGGACTTTTATTGTGGCCATTTAAAAAAAATAAATTAATAAAATCGATGTGGTCAGAACTTTGTGATCATTTCAAAAATAAAATAATAAAATCGATGTGGGTCCGAAATTTGTGACCGTTTCAAAAATAAAATAATAAAATCGATGTGGGTCCGAACTTTGTGACCATTATTTTAAAAATAAAATAATAAAATATCTTACCTCTTTGTTTGTTATCCTTTCTATCAATATCTGGAGTTATACAGGTCGTCTGACGAGGTGGGGAATTACTAATATTATTATTATAGGATGGAGTCGTATCATATACCCCCCTTCCCACGGGGGGAGAGGGATACGAACCACTTAGTCCATTATTTATACCATAGTCTTTTGACATCGGCGGATGATACTGGGTCGGCGGAGGAGTGTGTCTTTCTCTGTTAATGTTTGTAGTCGGGTAGGAACCGTGCATGAATCCCCATTCCGGGGGATACGATGAGTACCCAATGTTTCCTCCTACTCCCATTCCACCGTGCATACAATCAAACGGATTCGGTCTCTGAATAAAACGACTCATGTTGTAATTACTCGCAAAACCTTGATTAGCGCGAGCATTCATTCTTTCCGGATCCTCCATCTTGGCTTTCAATAACACTAGACACTATGATTTAGATTCCTTCCAACTGTTTTTAAAAAAAGTTACCTACAATTATTTCATATGCCGTGAATCTTAACGTCAGAAAATAATAAATGACATTACAGCTGCATGGATCGTATTTTTATAAAGGTTCTGATCAGCGTGGAATCAGCTGTTCATTCACGAAAAAATACAAGACGAATCTCAAAGTTTTCGATAAAAAGAAAGTTGTTGAAATCCCACTCAAAGTCTTATTCAACTCCAATAAACCTCACGGTGTATATCGGTATGATGCACAGCACCGACAAGCACAAGGGTATCACTATTTCAAAATCTCTAATATATATATCACGATACAGTCAATCCGTCACTTAAAATATTCTTCTATTTCCTGATGGCTTGTCTGTCTAACTCGATCAAATTCGTCTACACCAGCGTACAACAAGTAACAACAACAAGGCCAGCTTGATTCAGACACAGATGCTAAACTCGTTGACTTTCAGCTTAGTACTGGTGCTGTGTGGAGACAATTGATAATATAGTCGTTAGGGTCGGCACCCCTCCGAGTCTTCTTAAGTATTTCTGATTGGTACCCTGTCAGTATACAGTGGTTCTATCCATCACAATGGCGGAGGGATATCTCTCCTGTGGGACCTCATTACCGTCTAGAATACCCCCTGTGGTTGACCAATCCTTCCCTTGGTTGCTGATGACTTTTCCAGATCTGTGAAAACAATGTTCGGATATTTTGAGTTCTGAGGGATATTTATATATGGATTAGTATTTACAAGGAATGGCAAAATTTGAAAATAATTAAAACATACGATCTCACAAATTGTTTGTACAAACAAAAGTTAGTATAACTTAAATATTCTCGTGCAGGGTAGAAACATTGTGTAGACATTACACATTATAACAGATTATGATTTACATAACATTAATAACAATCTACTAGTAATCTTTAATTATAAGTTAGTATAACTTGAATATTCTCGTGCAGGGTAGAAATAGTGTAGACATTACACATTATAACAGATATTATGATTTACATTACATCAATAACAACCTACTAGTAATATTTAATTATAAATATATAATGGATATTAACGTTGAAATTGGTAGGATTATCAATTTACAAAAACATTGGCTAAAACGTTTAGGAGTTTTTTGTATACAATTCGTTCATGTCTTTGTAAAGTTGTGTATCTTTGTATAATTATGTACATGTATGTATCCTTTGTTTCATGTATATTTCTATTATTTTATTTGTATATGCACATAACCTTATAAAGTTTGTTATTCAATAAAGTTTCTTCTTCTACAATAAAATATGTTATTTATTTATTTATTTATCACATCACTACTTTGTCTATATAATATATTACTTGATATTATAGTATAATATTATACACCCTACCCAAACGAAAGGGAAATAATATTAGCTTACTTACCATGTTTTTTTGTATCCTTCTCCTAATGCCATTAAATTGATCAATACATTCGAAATTAATACTATTTTTAAAACAATTAATTCATTCGGATATCCATGAAAGTCTCAATATAACTATCCTTTCCTGTTTAATTCGTAACATTGTTATTTTAATTTGTGTTACATATTATAGATATATAACATGGAATGAAATTGGTTTAACGTCCTACTGATCATATATATAAACATAAACAACCATTGGGTAAAAGAATAAACAATTTACAAATTAAATCGAATCAAAATATTGTTCATTTTCCATTCCATTGTGTTTTAATAACATTCCTGGCAATTATTAATAAAAGGTTCCACATACATGAATATTATACCTCCATAATAATAAAGATGTAATTGCAAAAAGCTCCCCACCCCACCCACACTTTACGCCATTATAATATTAACAAATTGCATTGTACAAATTACCTTGATGATATCACCCCGAGTTAATATATTTAAATATTTGTCGTCATATCATCCAGTCACCATTAACAATTATAATTTTAACTTAGGCCTAACTACACAACTATATTAAATAAGGCCAACCTATGCAATTATAATTTTAACTTAGACTCATCTGTACATAATTATAATTCAACTTAGATCCAACCTATAGAATTATAATTTTAACTTAGGACTAACTATACAATTATAATTTTTACTTCAGTCTAACTATACAATTATAATTTTAACTTAGGCCTAACTATACAATTATAATTTTAACTTAGGTCTAACTATACAATTATAATTTTAACTTAGGCCTAACTATACAATTACAACACAATATTAAAACTGAAAGAATGGGTGGATGAATTTCAATCAATCATAAATAACTGACATGAATAGTTGATTCTGTTTTAAAGTTAATACAAGAGAACTATAAACTCTGTTAACTATGCGAATTCCTCAAATGAGAAATGGCATGGAGCGCCCTTTAAAATACACATGCACATGAAATGTATTTGACATGGCGCCATTTTAGAAGTGTAAATCTAAGCGTTAGAATAAAGGCAGATAAGCCGTATGATTTCCTCGAATGGGAAGTGTTACCAGAACTTCCATAACATACGCATACCAAGGAAATATATGTTGAGTTGTTTATTTGAAATATAAAGGCATATTAGCCGTATGATTTCCTCGAATGGGAAGTGGTGTCAGCCCTTCCATAACATACACATACCAAGGAAATATATGTTGAGTTGTTTATTTGAAATGTTTAAAATTGAGTGCAGTTAGAAAGGGAAGTTGTGGTTGATTAAAATATGTTGGTGTTGAACACATCTGGTGATGATTCAGACTTATAGTAAACTGTATACATATACAACAACGTCATCCCATTCAACAATTTCCTTTTACATTTCACACGTTTAATACGCAATATACTCAAATATCTCTATAATATACTCATAATACCCATATCTATATTAAACGTTTATATAATAACCCTGTCCGATATTAATATCCAAAATACTCAAATATCTATAACTCTCTATAAATACTCATAATACCCATATCTATATTAAACGTTCACATAATAACTCTGTCCAATATTAATATTCAAAATACTCAAATATCTATAACTCTACATAAATACTCATAATACTCATATCTATCTTATACATTCACATAATACCTCTCCCTGTCTTATATTTACCATTTCTATTAATACGCAAATATCTATAACTCTACATAAATACTCAAAATACCCATATCTATATTATACGTTTGCATAATACCTCTCCCTGTCTTATATTTACCATTTCTTTTAATACGCAAATATCTATACATCTCTATACTCCTTATATCCATATCTATATTATACCTATCTCTCTCTCTTATATTTATAATTTTAGTTACCATTTCTTAAAGCCGATGAATCGATTCGAGAATATGCAATACATGAATATCTTCATATGATAGGTTATATTATAGGTTCAATAATTCACTTGCATGTATGGGTCTTTAGCTGTTGGATGAAACCGGATGACCCGGAGAAAACCCACGAGGTTGGACAGACGTACGACCCTACTTCTGGTCGCGTACAATCAGGGAATCGAAACCACACGAGTTGACTCAATGACAGACCTTATGATACAACGCGCACGCGCTAACACTTCGCCACTCACCCCCTCTATAATAACAGAACTAGTCCTTACAATTCAAGACAATGGAATAAGTACCTGTTTAAATATGAATATTACGATTGTTTATCATCATGAATAATTCCAATTTCAAATTATTCTAAAGCCAAATAACCTCGTGGGTTTTCTCCGGGTCCTCCGGTTTCCTCCCACTGCTAAAGACCCCTATGCACAAGCGATTATTGAAATAAAATTAAACCATATGTTAGTCCCGAAATGACCTTGTTGTGTCGAGTGGACGTTAAACCCCATTTCTCTCTCTCTCTCTCTAAAGCCAAATTAATTACAGGAATAAAATATGACATTTCAATAAGGATGCGTTTTAAATATGAAGGATAAGTTTGCTTATTCTAAAGCAAATTATTACAAAAAATAAAGATGTCTGAGATACAAAATACAAGAAAGTTTTAGTTTGTTTACCTGCTATAGTCCAAGGTTTCAGTCTTTAGAGATTTCTCGCTACTTCAGTCTTGGGGGGTATACGATACAATATGGCGTGCTATATAATCACTATTATGAAACTGCACACATTTCATACGTCACTTCTGCACGTTTCTGACAAATTCACTGTTTACGAATAACTCAGAACTTATCAGATATTCAGATTTCAAGTTTCGTTCAAAATATATTTCGGGTTTTTCGCCCCTTGTTGTCAAAATTGTCTGCTGCGATTAGAATCAACACAATGATGACGTCGGCAAATTAAATTCTTAGATGACGTTGACGATTTCCGAAGAATGATATTCTTGTAAAATGTCTGCTGGTTGCACTGACAAATCGCAGAGTTTTTACAAACAAACGTAATGACCTGAATATGATTCCTTCCACTAAAAATAAAGTCGCAGTTTTTTTGGGTATAATCTTCTTTCAACAAATGGTTTGGTGTACGCACACCGCGTTAAAACTAGTGAAAAGTTATCTCGATATTTACTGCTAAGTTATCATAGATAGTTTGTCACTATGAATTAAACCCCACGACGTCGAATATAGCTGTTATATTACCGGAACACAGAATTAAGAAACACTTTCAATACGATGTAGCGAACTGTTTAAGTAGCCGCATGAGATGAAACGATTCTTCGCGATCTTGTCGGCTTGTCGTTGTCAATTATAGCCAGTGAGAGAAGCAGCGAGAAATTGTGAGATTTGGCGGGTTTTGCCAGGCCTGTCACCACCTCCCATCAAAATGAAATCTGAACCGGGTAATGACGAGAAGCGGAACTCGAGAAGGAATCTGTAATTGAAACCCGTTCGTTTCCCAAATCTTGGTTGACTGCCTACTGTAAAGTAAATAAATATACTCGTTTACAGTAGCATGATATACGTACATATATACACGACTTGCCTATATAGGCTACTGCACATTGATAAGAATACAATATTCAACTAATAAACACAAGTTACATCAGGTCTCAAACTACACGAAAAGGTCGAGAATCTTCGGTTACATGTTCTCTGTGGTAAAAATAAATACACACCGATCATAGATGCACTCAGGTGTAATATATGCACGTGCATTAAGATTGATACGAATTAACTCTACATGACGAACTGGTAACCAACGAGTAACAAACACTACTAAATGTGAAATGAAATGGGATTTAAGGGTCAACCTTTCCGAACAAACCAGGCTAATGAAGACTATCGAACCCGATAATTCCTAGTTAGTGAGCCAGCGTCTCATTCACTGAGCCACGGTGCACGTAAAAGATCCCTTAACAGTTAAAATTCGATATAAGAGTAGGCCAAAGTGCCACTGTCCGGAAATTTTTTTTCCCTCATAGCTCACTGTATGACGTATGTCCGTCTTCATTAGCCCAGTCAAAGCAGAACAGTAGAACATTGAACCCCATACCATTTTAAATACAGATTGTTCCATGTTAGATACGAAGGTTACGAAATATCCCCAACAGGTTACAGATCGGGTATATTCCTTTACTGAAACATATTAATGATAACTATGACCTTTTCGTGACATTGGTTCTGATCGCATCATTTACAAAACCATTTCACCCTTCTAAAACAGACTTCTAAGAGAAACTACTTAAGTTGGTGTAGTTTGATATATTCTGAACTTAGCATGACATACATTAGAACTATTTCCTATGATATTTTATTTACAAAAAGCACACGTGTAGTCATATAAACACATACAGTGAAATTTCGCTATTCAGGCCAGTTAGGTGATTGATATACAGTGTTCTTAAACATACATTATGCAAGAGCTAAATCTGCCTATTGCAGGTCTTTCTTTAGGTCTTCCAACATCGTGGGTTTTCTTCGGGTCCTCCGGTTTCTTCCCACTGCTAAAGACACCTACGCGCAAGCGAATTATTGAAATAAAATTGAACCATGTGTTAGTCCCGAAATGACCTAGTTTGTTTCGAGTGGACGTTAAACTCTCTCTCTCTCTCTCTCTCTCTCTCTCTCTCTCTCACACTCTCTTCTCTCTCTCTTCTTTAGGTCTGAAATGTTACCTAAATCATTAATTAGATATTATTCAACTTATCCAGACCATAATCAACTCTCGATGCCATCGTTAACCTGTGATATTTAGCAGATTGGAATATATGTTTTGAAAAATAATTCAACGTAAAAGTGGATAATCGAGACTTTGTTTTTATCATACCGACTTTAGTAATGATCGAGGCTAGCCTAAACTTCAAAAGCTAATATCTCGGTTCAGAGTTGATCAATTTGACTGAAATTTTCATCATATTCTATTTACGTTATCTATTTGTTAACTATCATAGCGAGAACTGTCAACTCGTTATCTAATGCCCCTTTGATAGCGGGGCACTCTTAAACTAGAAAACATGAAATGACATGGAGTTTAAGGTCTTACTGTGACCAATTAAATCCAATATAATGGAATTAATTTTTGACAATTCTCTAGTCTATTTCTATTTTAACACATTGTATATAGAATCCTATCATGGTCTATCTTAGTCTTATCACAGAATGTATAGTATCGTATCCTAGTCTAGCCATGGAGGTAAACCAGTAAGATACCGTATTATGAATATGATACTCGTTTTTCCTAATTATTGTCTGGATTATGGTAGAAATATTTCTCAAATAACAAAACACTATCGTGTTGATACGCCTTCTACCCGAACCATGCAGTTGGGTTCATGGCTATGTGATTACAAATGTGCCTGGAAATTGTTACGGATGATTAGAAAAGTAAACTGTCGTCCTTTACTTTTCTGCACCGAATGGGCTAATGAAGGCGGGCATATGCCGTACAGTGTGATATGAGGGAAGTGTTATCCGGACAGATATTGAATTCAAACTTTCAATGGGTTCTTCTGTGTGTGCGCCAAGGTGTACAGGACTGGTGATCACGTTTTTTTAGTCCCATCCAAACGACTGACCCCTGTTTCTTGCACCACTGACAGGGAAAAACAACGCTGGAAACTTCTTGAACCAGCACCGAGCCACCGTGACGTCCATTCCAGGCCTCGAGTTCACAAAACATTCTCAGACTTAATTTAAGAATTTACTCAACTTTCAATCACTGTTTATGAGAAATATCTTTGATCCAGAAACACAAAACTTTGCACATAGTTTCTTCGTGATGCAGTTGATACATTAAAACAACAAAAGATTTATACAGGGCTATATATTAGTTAAAAGAGGACAAACAATTTTGAGTAAATTATTAACTTAAAGAAACAGTATGGAAGATTCGGATAAAAAGCTGACCATTCTTGCTATAATAGCTCAAAATAGATAATCTAAAATGAAAATATTGAAAATTTCATTCAAATTACTTTATTCTGAGCCAAGCCAAGTTATCACCGTTTGTAGTTTTGACAAGATGCGTGCATAGTGGTGACCAGGGCACTGGTATATTCGAGACTTAGCCTTGCTTTTCCATTTTGAAATTAAATTTTTAAATGGCGTCCCGTTCTAATCTAGTTAAAATCTCGAGTATCATATGCCATCGAGAGTTGATTATGGTCCTGTTTTGTTAATAAATGTCTAATTATTAGATAACATTTCAAGCCTAAAGAAAGGTCTGCATAAGGCAGGTTAAGCTTTTGCATAATGTATGTTTAAACCCGAGAATGTGTTGTAAACGTGGGGCCTGAAAATACCGCCACTGAAGGAAAACTGCCGGCGATGTTCTATTATTTGAAATATGTTGACAGTTTGTTTCTAACACCATGTACTTATTTGATCTGAGGATTCTGTCATCAACGGCCCGTTTGTCATCGAGATTGTCCCATTATCACGCTATTAAAGTCGCTTCTTCCACAGCGATTCCCAGGCACTCGACGGAAGCTAGTAAATATGGTCGAGATTATTAAAGTCGAAGATCCATCAATATTGTGTTTAGAGATGAATGGGGTTTAACGTCCACTCGACACAAACTAGGTCATTTCAGTACTAACATATGGTTCAATTTTATTTCTTTAGCAGAGGGAGGAAACCGGAGGACCCGGAGAAAACCCACGAGGTTGGACAGGCGACCCTACTCCTTGCCACGTACAACTAGAGAATCGAAACCACAACGTTTTTACCTGAAACAGATTGTTCCACAGAAAGCTTATACAATTTGCTACCAGATGGCGTCATTAACTAGGATTCGTTGAATAAGTGACTTAGATCATTCTTCTCCGGGGTTCTTCAAATAATTTCATAGAAATTATAAATTACATGCCCACAGGGACAATTATACAATTTGCTAAATCCGACATGTCTAAACTTTTGAAGGAAAACACCCTACAATCCGAGAAAAAAAATACACACGAATGTCATACAATATACCCACGCCTGGGCGGTTCATTCATAAGATCTCGACTCTCCTATAAGTGCACCATGTACCAGGACATCAAAGTAGTTTCTGCAACGTATTTCACAATAGTAACGACCTATAAATGCCAAATCCATTAATATTTCGATTCATTGCAGTTTTTGGATTCTATCGTGTTATGCCATTGAATTCATGATACCCGCCTTAGTACCAGTTTCCTCCCACTGCTCAAGACCCCTATGCGCAAGCGAAGTTTTGAAATAAAATTGAACCATGTGTTAGTCCCGATACCCCCCCCCCCCTCTCTCTCTCTCCCTCTGCTCTGTAAATACCGTTTTAATGTAATTATGACAATAAACATTAACCCCTGTCTCTCTACGAATGGATGTACGGTGGCTCAGTGACCAAGGTGCTATTTCACTAACAAAAAGGAGGGGAGGGTTCCTTGGTTCGATCCAGGTGTTGGCCCAGCGTAGTTTCACACTGTCACTGGTGTAGACACCGTGTCTAGTCGTTCGGATGAGACGTAAAATCAACGTACCGTTTACACGTTGAAGTGCACGTAAAAGGGACCCTCTTGAGAATTTGAATTGGTAATACGCGTGGATAGTAGCACAGATGCCCGGGTACCATTTCCCTCATAGCAGTTGCCAAGGAGCGATGTTACTTCCATAAGTTATTATATACATAGAGAGCGATATTACTTCCATAACTTTTTTTTATAGAGAGAGAGAAATGGATTTAAACGTCCACTCGCCACAAACTTACTCATTTCGGGACTAACATATGTTCAAGTTTTATTTCAATAATTCGCAAACGCGTAGAAGTCTTAAGCAGTGGGAGGAAACCGGGGGACCCGGTAACCCACTCGGTTGGACAGGCGACCCTACTCCTTGTCACGCACAACCGTGGAATCGAAACCACGCCAGTTGACTCAATGACAGACCTTATGATACAAAGCCCACGCGCTAACCATTCGGCAGTTGGAATTCGATATAAGAGTAGGCCATAGTGCCGTTGCCCGGGAACAATTTCCCTTATAGCACATTGTATGGCGTCTGCCCGTCTTCCTTATCCCAGTTTAGGAGCAGAACAGTAGGACGTTAAAACCCATTTCATTTCATTCACTTTGTTAATATACAGGACTATGGAATTACTTGATGGATATAAATACTTGTTTTAAAAATGTTTCAAGGTCTCATCAAAGAATTCAACATTTTGCTCGGTAATGTGTTTAAATTAATTCTAGTAGCATTAAATTAGCTAGCCTTTAAAAACAAATAACACCAACCCACTCTGATCGAAATATCACCGCAAAATGATATTCTTAATGTTTAACGTTTGTCGGTCGAGGTTGGTCTGAACAACGTTAATGCGCATACCGATAAATCCACACTTATAGCGATGGATGTGCGCATTAAGTATTTCTTATAGACATTGTTGGCATGGTTGGCGGGGATTGCTTTGTCTACGAATCGTCTAAAATAACAAAACAACAGTAGAAAATAATGTAAAACATTCACTTTATTAAATCAACGATACTGTTGGTAATACTAACACTCGATCCGAATAACTACCTTATTCACGTT